AAAATAAATTTTTTATCATTAAACTCAAAATAAATCTATATGAACCCTTTCCCAAGCTCTTTCTACTTTCGGTCAAGCACTTTTCTTATCTCGACAAGGCATGCTTTGCTAATTTTTCAGTCTCCCCATTCATTCCAGGCCACCAAATACTCTCTCCCCCATTGTTTCATTCGCAAAACTCCTTGATGCCCCGAATGTCATATCTTCAAAATTTTTTTTCTTATTAGACTCGGTATAACTGCTCTATGCCCTCTCATAACGCAACCGTCCACCACAGTTAACTCAGTTTCAATCCATTTGAATTTATCATTACCGACATCCCATTGTTTTTTCCCCGTTATTCGCAATTTCAATAGCTTCATTTCCCTATCTTTTAACGTAAAATTTTGAATATCTTCCCGAGTGGTAGGACCACCCCAACCACAAGTTAAAGTACAAACTAAGGCCGCCTCACCTTTTCTATCTCGATCTGACATTTTTTCATCAGAGATAATAGTAAATTGAACAATAATGATATGTATAAGAACAATGGCTGTTGACAATGCAGAAGAACTCACATTTCATTCCAATGTTTTGCCTCAAGGGTAACAGGTTACAACTGCCAAAAGGTAGGGCAAGATGATAATGAATTAACAGATTCAATTAACAACATCTCCCAAATAACACTTCTAAGATATCTTTTAATAAAAGGAGTACCGATTGAATTTGATTATGATACGGGCGCACAGGTGTCAATAATTGGAAAACAATATTGGGATGAAATTGTCAGACCAAAACTTGAACCAACAAAACCACTGTCAGTTTATGGCAACCAAAAGCTGGACGTTTTGATGAAACTATTGTAAGGATGCAACTGAAAATATAGGCCGATCATTATTGTGGTTACCCGGTCAAATGACATACCACTGGTTAGACTACCATGGATACTGACATTTAATATTTTTATCCCACGTCAAGTTACAATACGTAGCATAACATGTAAAGATATTATATAAATTGATAAACAGATTGCTGCCTTGACTACAGAATTTATCAGTGTTTTTGATTATAAGCCAGAACTAGTTAATGATTTTGAAGTAGCATATATCTTCGTTATGCAGCAAGGCCGAAATCATACCCAGCACGTAGAGTACCTTTTCCATTAAGAAACCCAATTAAAATGGAACTCGGTAGATTGAAGAAATCGTGAATATTGAAGGAGAATGACCCAATAAAAACGCGCATGACCTGGGCTACTCCAACAGTAAACGTGCGCTATATAAATGGAGAAATCAGAATTTGTATTGATTTTAAGTCATATTAAACCCATATATCTTATATGATTATCATATAATACCAGCTGTGGCTGATCTATTGGCCAAATTACAAGGGGGATTGAAATTTACTATAATATATTTATAAGATGTTTATTTGCAGCTACCAATAAAAGAGAGCTCAAAGGAATACCCAACTATATCAACCCATATTTGGTTTGTTTCGATATTTATTTAAGCACTCTCTAGTGCGCAGACTCTTTTACAAAGATATATGGATAATCTATTACAGGACTGCAAAATGACAGGACTATACCTGGACGATATTATCATAAGGGGAAGTAGATCATTTGAACAATGTGAAGAATGTATAAATTAAATTAAAACAGGCTGGGTTGAAAGCAAAATGGGCGAAAATTCGTTTTTAAAATTTTTTTTTTCTGGCATTTGTAATAGATGAAAATGGTATTCACCAAGAGAAGGAATAAAATAAATGCTATTCAAAGGATACCAACTCCAAATATACACCAATTGCAATCTTTTTAGGGTTTGTGAATTATCAGGAGAAATTTTTACCATAGTTGCATGGTATCGTCACTCCACTGCATAAATTAACAAGCATTAAAAGTTCCTGGGGTTATTCTGACAGGGAACAAGATGTATTTGATAAAATAAAGCAGCCTTTGTCAACAAATAAAACTTTAATTCCGTATTCGCCAAACTTGCCAATTATATTGGAATGCGACGCCTCTAATACTGGTTTAGGAGCTGTGCTACTTCACGTAGTTAAAAAGGGTTTTAGCAGACATATCGCATTTGCTTCGCAAAAATTATTGAAGTCAGAGAAAAATTATGCACCAATAGGAAAAGAGGCATGAACACTCTTGTTTGGAATGAAAAAATTTCATACCTTCATTTTTGGACGAAAATTTATATTGCGAACAGATGACAAACCTTTGGAAAAATTATTTGGTGATAAACGGGAACTATCAAAAATATCCAATAATCGATTATCGCGCTGGGTATGGAAAATGTCCGCATATGATTTTTAATTGAATATCGTCAGGAAAAGAAAACGTAATTGCTGAGGGTTAGAGGAAAATTGGGAGACACGAGCAATCCCAAATAAGATGTTTTCCTCTAAACCAAGGAATGTTTGTGAGCCCATCTGGGTCTTTAACTATCAGAGAGGGATAAGTGGATTAGTTCCAGGAGGTTTTGGGTAGTTGGCCAACCTAATTTGTTCGAGATTATAAAGAAAATATTAATTCAAATTATTCATTTATTATTATTAGCCAACTCAGCAAAAAAAAATTAAATGTAATTGCTAGTTAGACTAAATTTGTTACTAAAGCGCAAATGTTTATGTTGCATAACTAAAACTTATGTAATTCGTATAACATTTTAAATGAACACACATGAGTTAATATGTGAATTTCGTTTTAAATAATTGGATATACGAATAAATTAGTTTACTAAATTCGTAAAAAATTTAATCGAGCTTAGGACGAGGTATATATATATCAGAGACTCAGAGGTACCAGAGACGAGGATTTTTTTCAAAAATCTTTTAGGCCCGGCCCGGATTTTTTTTAAAAAAAAAAATTTTCAGGCTCGGCCTAGATTTTTTTAAAAAATATTTCTTTTATTTTTAATTTTTATAGCTATAATAATGACGATTTAAAATATTTGGTTTTAAAATATATGTCCCGATTTGGGTATATGGGTGGGGTATATATATGAAAGTATTAATAATTATATTGTTAGATTCACCTGCTTTTAAACTAGTTGGCAAGGATCAAGACCAGGGAACTTTACTTTTAAAATCTAGGAATATTGGATGGAGTATTTAAAGTATCACAATCAATCAAAGATTTTATATTATTAAAGCGAATATGGTGAGCACTATTTTTCCATTTTTTTATATAATACAGTAATTTTTATCAATGATATGAACAAGATCAGGAAAAATTTCTTTTATAATAAATGATTTTTAATTTTTTTAAAAAAGGTACGCCATTTTCAAATGCAGAAAAACTTTGAGAAGCGGATGGAATTTAAAATATGAAAATGTATTTTTGTGAATAGGATCAGATAGAGGGAGGTGTATGTAGGGTAATAAATCACCCTGTAAATTGCTCTAATATTTTTAAATAATTACAAAAATGTTTTAATGTATATGTAAATTACTTATCCCTATTTCAAAAAGGGATATTTTCTGAAATATATCTTAATCAAAAGCAAATTTTATTTTTGAACGCTAAATAATAATGATGATATAAAAAAAATCAACTAATCTCGATATAAAAACATTGAAATTTAATGTACGAGTAATGTGAACATTTACACGTTTTTATCTAACATTATCCTATTATAAAACTCTCTTTTTTAAATTTTATATTCCATTTCCTATTTTGATGTTAAATTATACTCCATTTTTTTTATTTCTGAAATGATTTCCCACCAATTATGATCCATCAACATTTGTTATTCGCCACAATTTGGGATTCATCATTATCTGTATTGCAATTCCAAATCATTGACGGGCTCCCTCCGCTAGTTTCAAAACAATTACAAATTTCTGCTAATTTATTAATTATCTTTTTTATATATTATATTAAAATAAACTTATTTTGATTTATTAGGTTGAAAAATGATTTTTTTGTAGAAATTTAAAAAAATATATTATAAAAGCTAAATAACTTTTAATTAATTATTTAATTTATATAATAATGATGCTATCAAAGGAAAATTATATAATACTATCTCGACAAATAACATCATGTGAAATTAATTATGAATTTTGTTGGGAAATATTCAGTTTGTCGAGTGTAGAGGGATATGGGGCATCATTGTGAAAGCTCAGTTTTTCGGGAAGATCTATTAAGCCTAGAACGATGGTTGAATGAGATAGTAACTGCTGTATTATAATTGGATGAATACGGTATTCTTTCATCTCATCACGGTACACCTAGTCTATATTTATTGATGATGTTACCACCTCTTTTCCCCCACAGTTTTCTATTTTTTTCCCCTTTAAATTCAGTCTAGTTTTTTTTTCTCAGAAGCTTTTTTTCAGGAATTCTGGGGCCTGATACTCAATTTTTTTTATATATATGTTTTCAAAAAAATTTAAATAGTTAAACACAGCCTGACCAAATAACTAAATCTATTAATTAATAATTTTTTCTATAAAGTAGGCTATATATATAGAGAAAATAAAAAAATGTATTTATACAATTATAAACCAATACCGGGATACTTTGGATAGGTTTAGGACATCACTTCTAATTATAAAATTTAATGAGGAGAGTAAGCGTGGGGATACATATTTCTTATTCCTTCTAAAAAAAATTATGTGTCATCATTACTGGGGAAAAATAGAATAAAGGTATTTCTCAAATGGGGAATGAATTTTTAGTAATTCAGTGGCAAGGTTCGAAAGAGACTGACATTTATTTTTACATTTATTTACAGTAATAAATAATTGTGTTTACAAATTTAACTAATTAATGCGCAAATAAGTAAATAGTTTTTATAAATTGATAAAACATAACAAAATGTTCAACAATTTTGAATCAATAGAATGAATTATTAGATGCAAATACGAGATTATTTTTATTTTATATGAATTTTAAAAAAAAATATATAATTACGATCGGAAGAGAACATATATATTATTATTACAATTAAACTATAAATTTGTATTCAGCAAATATTATGATGTTTCAAATATATCTTATACAATATTGATTATTAACATAGTTGTTATTATTTTATGTTTAATTATTTTAAGTATCTATGTATCTATTAAATAGCGATATAGCTTTCCGATTGAAAGTATAATTTTTATTTAATCTATCCATAAGATAAAACTAAGATTGAGTCATCAAATATTTTAAGCTCTCCGCCAAACGCCTCCAGTTTACTCTCTCCTTCATGAGAGCTGTCTTCAGAACTTCCCCTTTTATAATTGTAGTTGTGCCTGTAGAGCTTTCTCGAATAAAACTTTGAGTCCGAGGGGCAGCTATAACTGCCCCTAGCCAAGTGGAAAATTGCGAGCCCCAATTATTTGTAAGATTTAGGTCCAGTTTGCAAGCGGACTCTATAATATGATCGGCGAAAGCTTGGCTAGGTATTTTATGGGAAGAATGGAAGTTCCCTAAGTAATCGTAAATGTATATAATTCGTTTAATTAGTATTGGGGGGGGGGGGGTAGGTTTTAATTGCAAGTAGCGCAATAATTAACAATTTTCCAAGTAAAGAGGAGTTTCATACTTCAATTCGGGTAAAAAAACTGGGATCCAAACTGAAACAAATATATGTTCGGTTCAGGTTCGGATAAAAATAATGTTTTAAGGTTTAAGTTCGGTTCGTAAAAATTAAAATATAGGTTTGGTTCGAACCTCTAAAAACCGGTTTGAATATTTTTGTATTCAAATCTACATTCTGATGATTATGTATAGGGAGGGAGGTTTATTTTTTTATTTTATCATAAAATAAAAAACACATACATAAAACCTTCATTTTTATTAATTGCACATTATAAAATTATATTTAAATTATAAATAATACAAATAAATATCAATGATTAATTTTAATATGAACCATATTTAACTTTATATTTATTTAAAATTTTTTTATTAGGCCGCACAATTAATATATTTTCAAGATTCGTCTCACTCATATTACATCTATAAAGAGAAGGTATAAATTTAATTGTTGAAAAACATCTTTCCACACTAATTTGGGTAGCTGGCACTGCCAGTATTAAACAATTTACATAATTCTGGGCATCGATTACTCTGATTTCTCCAATAGTTTAAAATATTCAGTTTTATTTAACCTAGATTCTTAGAAAAGTTAACTAAAATATTTATAATATTCTCCGATTTTTGTAACAGATTTTGTTTGTTATCATCTTTTTTTAAAGAAGACTTTCTACTAAATCCTCTTCAGATGAAGATGCATTAAGCGGCATTGATTCACCTTCACTAGAATCATCCACTCTTATAATATAGTTTAATTCCATGTTATGCCATATTTTAATAATATGTTCTCTAGACTTGGGTTTTCTTCTTAGTCGGAAGCACTTGATATCTATATAATAAAAATTATAAATATCATTAAAAAAATCTTATTATTTTTTATGAATAGATAGAAAAATATATAAAGTAAAATAAAATTATGAATTAAGGTAAATAAAATTATTAATTAAATTTATATAAGATATAATATATTTTTAAAACATAGCTTAAATATAGATATAGGCATGACAAAAGGCATTGTTGTTTAAAAGTTGTTTCTCTAAAATTCATAGCATCTATTATTGAACCAGCAAAGGGTTAAGTAAAATATAAATGTCGAATTTAACTTTTAGACATGCTATAAAAATCCCCTAATTTTATTTGTCCAAGTTGTAAGTTCTTGGTAGCTACTTTAATTGGTTTTAGGATATTTATCAACCCTATAATTGCTTCCCATTCCAAAGCTGTAAAATAAAGTTCATGTATGATACTGATAATTCCTCACACATATCTTTTAATTCATTCAATTTCTCCTGCATATCATAGGTTGATAACAATCTATGATAATCCAATATAGATCTTTTTAAGTTAAATTTTTTTTAGTATGATTGATATCGCTTTTGTCTCCTTAGCTTCTTGGATGCAGAACGAGCATTAATAATAATATTAGAAACTGAGCAATTTTTCAATGCATGATCTATTTCAAGTTATAAGGTATGAGATGCACATCTTATATTTATAATATTATATTGATAATCATTGTTAATTCATCAGGTACATTTGTGATACTAGTAATCATTCAGATTATCTATATTTTGTATTTGTTCTTATTCATCATTTTCAGACATTTGATTGTCTTCATCACTATCCTCCAAAAATAATTTTACTATCTTAATAAGATTTGTCCCATTGTCAGTTGTTATAGTGTATATTTGTGATGTTTTGATCTCATAATCATTTAATACTTTTATTAAAAGTATTTGTAAATTTTCTGCAGTGGGCCGTTCAAAAATTTCTTTAATCGCTAGTGTTCTCAAAACAATTTTTGCTTTTTGAATATACTGAAGATTAATCCCAATAATGAACCTGTCTAGACGAATAACACAGTAAATTTTTAGAGATAATAACTTACCATTTATTTCTTTGATATTTTGCCAAATACTTAAGGCTTATTCTGCAACATAGATATTTAAGAATTAATTTTAATTTTACCCACGTCTTCTAATATAGGATCAAGAATTTTTTTAAAACCGCTATCATCGATTAATTTGAATGGTCTGCCGTTAAAAGTGACCAACTCAGTACAAGCATCGATTATTATTTATTTTATTTAGTTTTACTGATATTTTTTGTTCTTTTAATGCTTCTTCTATCGTCTGTTGGCTTAGTGACATCATAAACCTTTTTATTTTATTAGGCTTTTGTTGTGATATTTTGTTAATTTTATAGAATTCTAGATGGTGGTTTCTTTTTAGGTGACGCTCAAGATTTATGATGGCTTCATATTTATCTGACAATCAGTAATATTACATTTTGATGTGTCATTTATAATACTATAGTAAATAATTTATGTATTAGATTTAATTTTCTCTAGGCACACTATAATTTATAAGCTTAAAATATTTTAAAAAATGCCAAATGGCAATATACTAAAGTTTATAAAAATTATGACTGACACTTATCAATCAAATGTGATTGATAATAATCTTTGAAACAATTCGAATATATTTAAACTTTTTGCAATATACTAGTAAACTTACACATAAAATTATGAGGCTCGAACCGGTTCAGAGGCATTTTAGCGGTTAGGTTCAGGTTCGGCTAGAATTTTTTTAGTAGTTTAGGTTCAATAAAAAATAGGATTTTAGCGGTTTAACGGTTCGGTTTGGATCCCTGTAAAAAATAATAAAAGTTATAAACAACCGAATCCTTTAAATTATTTATAACACCTTACCAGATTTCTTTACCACAAAATCTAAATTTTTATATAGTAAAATTGTTACAATTTACATTTTATAATAAAAGATATATATTTTATTATATATAAAGCTCATGAGAAAATTATCGTTAGATAGTAACAGATTTTATTCTTGAATTGATAAAATAAAGAAATCTTCCTCATATTTAAATTGAGCTATATCCCTTCTACTAATACCCATTCTACAAAACAATTCCTATCAAGACCGACATCTAATATTCTATTTTAAACAAGACTTTTCCCCGCTTGTCTTTATGGTGGAGGTTCTTTATTCTCGATATTTTAAAAAGAAAAGTTTTCATTTGTTCCTCCTCAATTTTATAATCAAAATTTTTTATAAAGGCTTTTACAATTAATTTTTTTGTTTAACATTTAAATTTAATTTTATCTTTAATAACAATGATTAGTATTTAAAGTAATACATGACTGGAATGTGGTAATATAATAATTAAATTAAAACCAGTAGTTATTATTATTATATTATTCCAATTAATATTATGTAAGTTATACCTTTCTTATATATGTCTAAGTCAAGGTTATAATTACGAAAAAGAGCTATATTCTATTTTTAGATTGGTCATCCCCATTAACCATATATAGTGTAATTTATATATAATTAAGAAAAAGAACTTTTATGGATAACTACTAGCACAATTATAGTGTAAATTATACCCTTCTTATATATGTCTAAGTCAAGGGTATAATTACGAAAAAAAACTATATTGAATTGCTAATATGATCCCTCCCCACTCCCCTACCAATTTATTTGATTTGTTTGTATACTAATTATTTTCTCCCTAACATCTTCTTCTCAATTTTATATAACATCTGTGTCATACATACCCCGTAATACAAATGTTTAATTCTTGTTATTATATTATCACCTACTTTCCACAGTTTTTATGATTGTTTTCCCAAAATTAATTCCCATTACCATTTGTCCCTTGATACTACTAAGTTTTTTTAAAATTATTTTTTGGGGGAGTGATGCGTGTTACATAATATGTACTATATTAACTTTTATTTTTATTATTACTCAATTTATATTAATTTAAATTGTTAATATGAGTTTGCAGCTATGTTTTATAACCGTAATTGATTTACATTTTATAAAAAAAGATATATCTTTTATTAAATATAAAGCTCATGAGAAAATTGTTGTTAGATAGTAACAGATTTTATACTTATTTGATAAAATAAACATATCTTCCTTATATTTAAATTGAGCTAAATCCCTACTACTAATACCCATTCTACAAAGCAATTCCTCTCAAGACCGACGTCTAATATTCTATTTAAAACAAGACTTTTCCCCGCTTGTCTTTAAAAATATAATATGCCTCACTTTAAAAAAAGTATATAAAAAATATATGGAGATATATTTAACCAGGCAACATAAATTGTTAACCCATGAATTTTTATTTCTCAAACATATGCAAATTCGTACTCGACGTGGATAGAGATGAGTAGGTCCTGGTGAATAAAGATACCAATAAACGGACCAGCCTCTCGGTCAAGGCGTATCCTGTGCACTCTGGAATCGAAACATCGTATACATAATTGCTATCATTCTTGAAAGAAAGAGAATGGGCGCATATAAAATAATCGTAAAATGAAGGGTCAACCGGAGGATTCCCTATGGATTTGCACCGTAAAAATTGATCCAAAAATGACAGGGCAGATTTGACTGCGGTAAATTGGTTATTGCTCAGGGTTTCAATACCTTTCAGTTTTTTCAAAATTTTAAAGTAATCATTTAAATTTTAAGATTATCGTTCATAAAAATTAAATAGCTACATTCTTTAACGCATAATTAAAAAAACTACAGTAAAAAAATATATATATATAATTAATAACAATATATGGTCAGCATCTGCAACATATATTTCCAATCAAAATTATCCGCCGAATTAGTGAATATCAATTCCGGAGCTTTATCCATCAAAGTCCTTATCAGATCCAGAGCACCTTCAAATATTGAGAGCGTATCAGCATCGGATCCGCTCGTTAAGGCAAAACCCTTAAAAAACGTTTTTTTCAAATTTGTTAAAAACAATTGTTTCACTTTTGATTTGTTATTTTATCCACATTCCTCAAACTTTAGAAGAAAAAATTGTTATTTTCAAAACAAAAGTTCTCTAAATTTTTTATGTTATATATTTAATTTAGTTATTTAGGTCACCTAGAGGCCAGCCAAATCAATTTTTGCGGGTCATTCAAAGCCAGATGGTCAAAGAACCTTTAGGCCAAGTCCTGGCCCGAATTTAGTATAAATAAAATTAGTAAATGTAATACTAACTCGAAAATTCTCGAAACTCATCTCAATTATAAGGTTATGCATTATATTAGAATATTCAGCAATAACTTATAATTTAACGATGGTTATCAATTTAGTTATATTTATTTAAAAAAATTCATAACATGAGAATGTAATATATCCCCACCTCTTTAAAATAAAATTGTTCAATCAGGCGAAAAGGGAGGAATTATAAATAAATCTTTTTTAAGCAGCCGGGCATTGTTATTGAGGTTAACGGTCTCCTGAACAGACATTATGGCTCAGTGTTGCTTTACTCACAATAATATAAGTAAGGATTTTTTTTTAAATAATGATCAATAACAGTAATTAAAATTGAAGGACCTTTACAAAAATTAACGATTCCTATATGAATGAATCATCAAATTCAAATTTTGGATGAATCAACCATCAATCATAGGTATTTAGATGATAAATTTTTTTTTATTCAAATAAATTTAAACTTGGCAGAATAAAAGGGTGGTCTCTAATTATTCGGATGTATTGTTAGGGGGGGGGGAACTAAAATTAAATGAAGTAACTTTAACTTTAAAATAAATGAATTTCCTTCTTTTTTTTGAAAATATTTAAGAACCGTTTTTTCAAATGAATTTTTTCAAGCTTCTTTAGTTTCAAAAGTCTAGACACCATATTAGAATCCGAATCACGTATTAAGGAAGTTACAAAAATGGTCAAATACTTTACCTATATCTTGACATCAAAAAAATACATTTATATATTTTTAAAAAAATACTAACTTTCTCGCGGCATTGATCGTGGAGATAACTTAGAGCATAGGCTAAGACAGGCTCGAGCAAGGCGGAACGGCAAAGTGAAATCCATGAAGAATCCGAGTTACTCGCTTTATTCCGTCCGTCTCTGGAAGACCGCGAGGCTAAAACCGCGATTCTGACTGTTCCCCAAAACCCTGCCTCGGTGCACATGAGCGGGGAGGGCGTAAAGGAGGCGGTCAGGGCCGATAGGGTCGAGAGAGATATTCGTGAGATACTGTCCGCGTCTTCTGAGGTTAAGAAAGGGAGTGAAACGAAAGTTGAGATCAAGTCGAGGGGCAGGGATAGGAGAAGGAGCGAGTCGGATGCAAGATCAAAAGCGGTAGTTAGAGTAATTACATGAAGAGTCACTGCCGCGTTCGGGAGTGAGGGACTAGGAGTGATGCCGGTCAGAAGGTTTAGAAGAGAGCAAAGTAATGGAGTGTATCGGTCGGCGAAGGCAATTATCTTGGATTATTGTAAATATGGAAAGGAAAAATAGGGCGGGGGGGGGGGCAATAAAAATTAAAAGCGATATTACATGGAACAAAAATGAAGCCAGTATAGAAATATTACACGTATGCAATTATGATCGATAGATAAATAAATATTGGGAGGAAGGTATACTTAAGTTAGCCCATCCGTCAAATTCTAAAATTGCAAAATATTATCAAGAGATAAAACCGAGACATTCATTTTAAAATTTTCAAGAACCCGTCCTAACAAAGGTGCAGGTAATTTATTATGTATTTTAAAATGTTTTGTAAATTCGTTTTAAACGTCTGGAACCTACTTTTTAAAATCTTAGGAACCCAATATTCTATTTTCGAATTAGATGTTACGCTATTAATTATATTCAAACCTACCGCCATTTATTTTCACCAGTGTTTTTTCAAAAGACGTCATTAAGGGGTCACCCGATAAAAATGATAATATACATAGTTTTTTTTTTGGATTTCAACATTTTCAATCTAAAAATTTGATGACTTATATAGCAATTTAGATGAATCGAGGTATCAACTTCCAATTTAAAAAGCTTTTAAGTATGAGGCTATTTATTAAATAAAGTTATAGCTGAATATCATAGGGCCCGACGCGACACGATTAACCGAGTGTGTTTATAAGAAAAAAATCGATATATATTTTTATGGATTGAAATTTATAAAATAAATAGTAATAAAAATAGATTTTATAAACTCGATCAGCTGCTAAATCACGTCGTATCGCACTACACCGTTTTTAATAAACATGTGACATTTTACTATATTGGCTAGATGCTCACTAGGCCAAAATCAATATTTTTTAAAATAGGGAACTCATCAAAAATATTAAATCAATTTTCGGTCCCATCCAAGATCTCGAAAAGGTTTTTCGGACCTTTTCTGTGGTTGTATATTTAACAAGACGCCAAATTAAAGTAGTCAACGAATCAAAATCCAAATTTGCCAAAATTTAACAGAGTGACAAATTTAAGAAAAATCCCAGCCTCATCATTGCGGGGGAATGGCATCGTCTTATGGCGGCTAATGGAGGTCTAAAAGGTTCCCTGTGATCTGGGTCTAGAATAGGATCACCATCTCCTTGGCGGGGTGTAAAAACCACTTAAAGGGGCGATGTCAGGAATGGCATCCGATTGTAAAAATCCTGCTACAAAATTTCCCTATGGTTACAACAAAGCATGGGCGGGGTACAGCCCAAAGTACCCTGTGGGCCTCCTCTTCCGCCTACGACAAAAAGAAGGATGGGAAACCTGGTGGAACCACGATTCATGAAAATGAAACTTATGACGGCCATAAACGACCTGATAATAGGTGGAGAAACCAGTTTAAGGGGGATTGAGTAAGGGCCGCGACATGGAATGTTGGGAGTATGACGGGAAGAGCGGGAGAAGTGGTTGATGTATTGCATAGAAGGCATATGGATGTGTGCTGCATACAGGAGACCAGATGGAAAGAAAATGGCGCATGATTGACAAGACCAGTGGCCCCTACAACGGGGGGGGGGCAAAGCAACTGCTTCAGTAAATTTGAGTGGGGGTACTTTTTTTAAAATTTTCTTTATTATTTAATTCTTTTACTGTTTTGTTACATCCATCATGATCAAGTGATTTCTGGTTTATAAATGTAATAATAAGACCCCTCCCCCCAACTTAATATTTAATTACATATATATTGACGGAAATTTTGGTCGATGTTTAATAAATTAGGTTTTTATCCGAGATTTCTTGTCATAAATTATTTTTCCAATTTTAAAATATGCCTAAAAATATTAACCAAAAAAAATACAAATGCCTAATTAAAAATTGCAAATCGCATAATATAAGAGATGATAAATGGATAGATCACATTAGAAAAAGACATGGTGGGCTTAATTTTAACGATATAATGTATATACAACAAAATGAAGAAAGAAAAAGGGATAAAAAAATAAGGGATTAAAAACGAAATTTTATTCAAATCTATTATCATATAATAACATAAATATTCTCATTGAAACCATGAAAAATATGGTTATAAAAAAATTCAAAATGAGATTACATTTAACAAGTGCTTTTCAATCATAGTTGATGGCACATATGATGTTTCGAAATCAGAAGCAAGAGCTTTGATAGTAAAATATGTTGAAAATAGTGAGACGCCGAAGCCTGCTGAAAGACTGATTGACATATATTGTACGGGAAATACCACAGGTCTCGATATTAAGCATAATATAATATCCAAACTTGGCTCGATAAATTTACCCCTTGAATTCCTAGTTGGGAAAAGTTATGATGGCGCCTCAAACATGAGTGGAAGAATCAATGGTTTGCAGGCCTTGATTGAGCAGAGTCGCCAAAGGCATCTTATATTTGGTGTTATTCGTCGATTAAATTTAGTCATTGTTCAATTATGCCAATCAATTAAAGAACTTCGAAATATTCTAGGAATATTAGATTAAATATATATCTATTTTAATGGTGTAAAAAGATATGAGGTACTCAAAAAATGTCAGTGTAATGGTCTGAAAAAATCGCAACGATTTCTACGCATCAAGAATACCACTCGGTAATAGTACCTTATTTATTTAGATTTTAAATGTTTTTTTATTTAGAAGCTGGCTATCGTCATATAAAGCTATTGTAAAATTTTTTCTACTTTATGATGCCTTGAGGGCAGCTTTAACAAATTTAAAGGGTTCTGAAGATCCTGCCACTTCCACTAAGTGCTATAATCTTTAGAATAGAAAAATTTGATTTAATCTTATCTCTTTGTGTTTTGGATAAAATATTGTTGATAACAAGTTTGGCTTGTACAAAATTGCAAACCATTTGGAAGGATATAGGGTTTGCAATAAATTAAATTCAATTGGCAAAAGATTGCTTGATTAATTTGAGAAGTATAATATAAATTATTCTCTAATTATTTTTTAATCTAATAGATAATAACACTGAATTTTTGGATGTTTTTTATAGTTGTTTTATGCTGCACTCGATTTGATTATTATGAGTTTAACGAAAGATTTAATGATGATTCGATGAAAATTTTGCATCAAACATCATTTTTTACGCCAAAGGGAATAGCAGAAAAATAAATTATTAAAGAAGATATCGAGGATATCTGTGAATTTTACAATTTAAATTCAAGTCAAATTTTCGAAGAAATGTTGAAGTTTAGAAATATTTATAAGATGGCCAAAATGGGAAATGTAATTATTACTCATGACCTAGAAGTTCATGAATCTAAAGATTTATCAGATTCTGAGAATTGTAAATTTATTTAATTAAAATATTTTTACCAATACATTATTTAACTTCTTCTGATGATTACGATTCAGATTGGAAAAACTATTCATTTATTTTACCTTGTCTACTTTTAAATTTTTCTGCTTTCCCTAATTTAAGAATTTTATATAAATATTTATTAACCATTCTTACAACCTCTTGTACTGCCGAAAGAGTCATGACTAAAATTAAATTAATTAAAACAAGACTTCGTAGTACCATGAAAGATTCATTTCTCAATAATTTAACCATATTATCAATGGAAAAAAATTTATTTAAACAATTAAATATTGATGAAATTATAAATTCTTTCGCTTTCTCTTCTCCTAATTTATCTAAATTATTAATTTAAAAATAATATTTATAAAGTATATATTTTTTTGCATTTTATTTATATTATATATTAAAAATTGATGCAATAAAAATTATTTTTGAAATTTATGGGTGTCATAAAATAATTATCATTTTTTCGAGGGGGGGGGGTACTTTTCAGGAGGGTATTCTGCTTAATTTGCTCAGAAAGTGTAGGGGCCACTGGGCAAGACTAGTGAAAAGTAAAAATTCTTTTGGCAAGGAAGTAATGATGGTAAGGCTGGAGTTGGGGTATTGGTTGCAGAGAAATTGGTAGATAAAGTAGTCGAAGTGAGAAGGCTAGACAACCAGATAATGGTTATCAAGATGTTTGGTAGAAAGCAATATAATATTATCTCGACATAAGTTCCTCAGGTTGGAAGAAGTGAAGAAGAGAAAGATATATTTTGGGACAGTCTATTGGGGGTGACATCGAGACTGGCAGAAGGAGAGAGTATTATCCTGGCTGGTGATCTGAATGGACATGTAGGAGCGAGTAGTGAGGGTTATGAAGGAGTACATGGAGGGTACAGTTACGGTATTAGGAATTTGAAAGGGGAGAGGATTTTAGATTATAGTGATGCTATGGATATGATTGTCTGTAGAAAGAATCAGAGAAGCTTGTGACTTATAAGTCGGGTAGTACCAAAAGTGTGTGGATTATTTGTTATTAAGGAGATGTGAGTAAAAAATGTGAAAGTGATACCGGGAGAGGAATGCATTAATCAGCATCGACTAGTTATAGGAGATCTTACTTTTATAGGCGCCAGGATCAATAAAAGAAAGTTTGTGCCAAGACTGAAGGTCTGGAAATTGAAGGAGAGTGCAAGGCAATTCAATATGACATTGGCGATAAAGGAGACGGAGGTGGCACAAGAATCTGGGGTAAATGACAAGTAAGAAGCCATGAAGAAAGCCAGGGTGATGACAACTGAGGAGGTATGTGGATGGACAAAAGGGCCGCCTAGACATAAGGAGACTTGGTGGTGGAACCCGGAGGTAGCGAAAGCTGTGGATGAGAAACGCAGGTGCTTCAAAGAATGGTATAATAGTATAAAGATAATAGTGATACCGATATTTACAAGATGGCGAAAAGAAATGCTAAGAAGTTAATAGCAAAGGCGCAAGAAGAAAAAAGGCAGGAGTTTGCTAAAGAAATGGAATGCGCTGAAGGAATGGGAAATGTGGCTCGAATGGCAAAGCAGATGACAAAAAAGAGGCAAGATGTGGTAGGTGTTAAATGTTTGAAAAATATGGAAGGAAAAATGGTGATTGATAGTAATGATATTAAGAACACCTGGAAGATCTACATGGAAGGACTTTGGAACGAAGAAAATGAATGGGATAATAATGTTAGTTGTGCAAAGGTAGAAGGTCCAGGGTGTAAATTTGGCAAGGATGAAAGCAGTCAAAAAGATGAAAAAAGGGAAGGCATCGGGGTTAATGATGGATGTATCAAAGATGTTTAAAGGTTCTGATGGCTTAGGGATTGAATAGTTAATGAATTGGCAAATCAAATTGTCACAGAAGAAACTATTCCCGAGGACTGGCGAAGAAGTATAATTATCCCAGTATACAAGGGAAAAGGCGATCCTTTAGATTGCCGGTCTTACAGAGCTATTAAACTCTTGGAATATGCAATGAAGGTATTTGAGAGGGTGTTAGAGAAGCGGATAAGGGAACAAACTAAAATTGATGAAATGCAGTTTGGTTTTACATCGGGGAAAGGCACAACAGATGCCATTTTTGTGGTAAGACAAATACAGGAGAAGTATCTTGCGAAGGAAAACTGTATTATGGGTTTGTTGACTTGGAGAAAGCATTTGACAGGGTGCCGCGTGAGATTATTAGATGAGCCTTGAGAAAATCAGGTGTGGAGGAATGGTTGATTATGGCAGTGATGGCAATGTATGTGAGAGCACAAACTGCATCACGGACGGATGATGGATATAGTGAAAACTTTGAAGTGAAGGTAGAAATTTATCAAGAATCCATGCTGAATCCATTATTATTCATCTTAACAATGGATGTGGTGGCACGAAGGACTTCCGTGGGAGATATTATATGCAGATGATCTTGTATTAATGGCAAACAGTGAGTAAGAATTGAGGGATAAAATTAGTAAATGGAGGATGGCTATGGAAGCAAAGGGCCTAGAAAAGAATATAGCAAAGACAAAGGTGATGATTGGTGGGGAAAATCTAAAGATGGAGGAATCCGGTAAGTGGCCTTGTGGTCTATGTGGGAAAGGATCTGCTAGAAATTCAATCCAATATACCATATGCCATAAATGGGTACATAATAGATGTAGCGGGAAAAAAGGAAGTTTATGTTATCAAGAATGACTTTTATATGTAGATCGTGCAAGAAAGGGGTATATAATAATGATAACGTAGAAAATGATGGTTTGGTTATTGGCAATAGGTTAACCCTAGAAAAATTGGATAAGTTTTGTTATTTGGGTGATATGCTAAACGCAGATGGTGGTGTAGATTCTGCCGTTGTTGCAAGGGTCAGACAAGCATGGAAGAAGTTCAGAGATGTCGTCTATTCTAACAAATAAAAAAGTCTCTCTGAAGTTAAGGGGAAAGTTTACTTAAGCTGTGTGAGGAGTTGTTTAGTTTATGGCGGAGAAACATGGGCAATGAAAACGACTCACGAAGCCAAATTAGAAATAACAGAGATGAGAATGATTAGATGGATGTGTGGGGTTTCTCTGAGAGAGAGAAAAACTAGCAAGGAATTGCGAGCAAGATTGGGTATAAAAATGATTGGAGTGATAATGCGACGAAATAGACTCAGATGGTTTGGGCATGTGGAACGTATGACAAAAGATGACTGGGTAAAGAGATGCACCTTGATGGAAGTAGGAAGATCAAAACCTAGAGGAAGGCCCAAGATGACGTGGACAAATGTGATAGCGGCGGATATGAGAAGCATGAATCTTACAAATATTGGTTTTCAGGACCGTCAGAAATGGAAAAGAGAAATCAGAGGGAAAACTGGCCTACCTGGGTAAACCTGGAAATCGCCATAAAACGGAGAAAAGAAGAGTACCAGTTCTTTTTAAAATTCTAAATAGGACTAAAAATATAGAAATATCAATACTTCTAAGCTTATTTTAAAGATATATTCGACCTCATGTCAAAATCCATCATTTAATAAAAAAACCAAAGGGTCCAATTTCTGAATAGAATTCAAAACAAAAAGTGTTAGGTGGCATAATTAAAGACTACCTAAATAAATAAAACAATGAAAAGATAAAACATTATATACTAACCATTTTGCAAACGAGACAGTATTTAAACAGACTCTTCTTCCTTTCCTCAGGAGTATATTCTTCTCTCTCTCTCGCCACATCAAATACTTCATTTTTGACCTGACCATCCAAAGCGTTGTGGAAGAACATCAAAGTGGCGTCAGAGGGTGAGATGACGGAAAGCGTATCTTTAAGGGCTTTTAAGATTTAGAAATTTAAAAATAAAAAGAGTTTTCAGAAAAAAGTGATATTTTTGAAAAAGGTAAAGTTTAAATCTAACCATATGCAATATGTTATATATTATATCAAATTAAGTGTATATAAAATAATTTATAGCAGTAATGTCACTATGGGGGAGGGCGCACAGGAGTTGGAGCCACCTAAAATAGTCATTTTTAAAATTTTAACTAAAAAAAGTCATTTAAAATTTTAAAAAAGTGTTATTTAAAAAAAAAAATTCGAGCCCTCCTGAAATTGTAAAAGCTTGTGACGCCACTAATTAAGAGCTCAATAAGGATAATTAACTTTAACTAATTTTAACCTTTAAGATAACTATCCAGAGCGGTCACCATTCTACACACCCCTTTCAACCAGTCCTCAAGAAGGATTCGCTTATCCAGTTTCATCACTATGGCCTGCTCTAATGGATCGAGCAAAGAGTTCAACAAGGTAAGGAAAGGGGCGAAGTCGAGAGCTAAACTCCCAGAAGTCAAATAGGTTTGGGTAGACAGGTAACGGTTGGGTAATGAATGAACCGTGAGGTGTGATAGCAAGGGGGTTACTCGAGGATAAACAAGATAAGCTTGGGTGGGCTCGTTGAGGTTGGTAGCGTTGTAATAGTGGTGGAGAAAAGTCTTGTGAAAGTTTTATTTTATGTTAGGAATATCGATCATTATAAATGTGAGCCTCTGAAGTAGCCAATCAAATAAAATTAATTTCCTGCAAAATGGTAAAATTCGCAATAAATTATGTCAACCGACCAAAGCCGTAGCCATGGGGGCCAGCCTTCCCCTCCCAAAAAAATCAGCACCCAAACCTAGCCCTTAAAAGTTTTGGCCCCCAAATTAAAAAAAGTAGTTATTAAATTTTAATTCATCATTAACGATTAAATCTAAATGAAAATACAACAAAATTTTTAGAAAAATTTTATTTATTTTATACATATTAATAAACATGAAAAACCTGAGCATAATTATTCGTTTTTTTTGTGAAGAAATCGAAGAAAATTTAATAGGAATCATTTATTTACAATGTCTTTCTGCTGAAAGCATTACCAATTGTATTTTAATAGCCGAAATGGAGGAGTAAAAACGCTGCTTCAAAAAAATTAATAAAAAAGTACCTTACATATATTGCTACAATCACCAGTTGCACCTTGTGGTTCAAATTAGTATAGTAATATTTAGTGCTGTAAACATTTTTAAAAAAATCGAACGCGTTCGCGTTCAACGTTCATTGACAAAAATCGAACTCGTTCACGTTCAAATTCAAAAAAAGGAACGCGTTCATCATGCGTTCAAAATTTTATAAATTTTTTTTAAAATTTAATTTAATATAAATAAATGCCTTATATTTTTCAACACAATATATTAGCCATGATAAAAAAATAATAGTTTTATTTTGAAAATATAATTATAAATACAATATAATAGAGCGATAAAAAAATAAATTTATAAATTTTTTTCTTAAATACTAATATTAAAATGCCTTATTATAATTAACTATATATATATTATGTAATTATTTTTACTTAGAACAATTAAAATAAATTATTAACTGGCTATATAGTTATACATATTATATAATATAAAATAATTAATGTTACAATCAGATGTCTTTTTTAAATTGGAGCTTGAAGATGTTGACACTGATATAATACTTTTTGGACACATTTTACATTTGGTAACTATTGAATTACCTTTTGATTTTAAAACAGTGAAATATTTTTGAATTTGGGCCATGGTAATTCTAATTCATCTAATATTGAATTTTGATTTTCAGAATCTGATGATGAAATATTTATATCCATGCAAATGCTAATCTATTAAATTAAAATATAAAATATTCAAATTAATAGACTTTAATCTTATCTTCTCTAGCAGTAGCACGTTATGGTACGTTAATTGCAATATGAAAGAGGAAAAAGTAAAAACAGCTGATTAAAAAATATAAGACTTTTTTGTTAAAAAATTGGATTAAATATTAATTTTTCAAATAAATAAAAATATAAGACTTTTTTGTTAAAAAATGCGGATTAATATTAATTTTTCAAATAAATAAAAATAAAAAGTGTTTATAAAATTGAACGAACGTAAAATTGAACGCGTTCACGTTCAAAGTTCGTCAAAAAAAAGGAACGCCGTTCATCACCTTTTTTCAAAAAAACGAACTTCGTTCTTGAAAGCGTTCGTTTACAACACTAGTAATATTGTTTAAATTATTAATTTATCTAATGGATTGAATAATTTTTTTCTGGCGTTTTAACTTATCATGCAAAAATACAGGCCATATTCTTAATACCTTTAGACCGGGGGAGGGTCTGGTCATTTAGAAACATCTCGTATTATTTATAAGAATTTTGAAGCTGGTGAAGTATCTTTTTACTTTCTTAATATAACTAACTCTGAGATTTCTACTCACGATTCAGTCAAAGCCTCTGGTATTTTATCTCATATTGGCTATTTTAATTTATGGGTATTAACGACAATAAATCCATTAAATAAGTATCTACAGTAAGAAGGTACTAATATAGTTGATACTAAAAATTATATTGATTCCACAATTAATATATTAAAAATTAAAAGTGATAATTATTTTGATTTGATAAGAATTTAGGCTGAGAAACTTCTATCAAAATTTAATCTTATTCCTCATAAATCATCAAGGTTACAAATTTGATTGTGAAAAGGACTTCAATTGGAGTTCTTTAAAGAATAATTATTCTAAAATTATTGATTATTTCGTAAATAGTTTTTTAGATAGATTTACGTAAAATGATTATAATATTTTATCATGTTTTAATAGAATACCCCTCCCCTCATGACCCTGATTATTTTATATAGATCAATTGACCCCATTAGAATCATATTAAACTTAAATATGGAAACGTTACATCATGAAATGAAAATAACAAAGGGACAGATAAAGAAACCAAATTTTGAAAATATCATATATATTATGTACAAAAAATCTCATTTTGCATTTAAAGAATTGTATAAATGCTACTCAATAGCCATCGTCATGTATCATATCAACGGCTTTTGTGAAGTCACTAAATAAGCACTAGAGAATCAATGAAAAATCGATGAAAACAATATTTAGTATTAATGGCTTATTGAAAAAAAATAATACTGAATTTAGCTTTTAATTCACATATATTAAAATTTAAAAAATTGTCTTTAAATTTTTAATAAAAATAGCAAAAAAATTATACGATTGTCTAACTATCTGTATTCTTTCAAAAAATATCGCCCCCCCCCCTCAAGTAAACAGTTGGCCCTCCAGCTGGAAATTCCTGGGTATGGCTCTGAGACCGACACAAACTACGTTTTATTATTTTGCTATAAAATATTTTTTTATAAGAACCTTAATTCCTATGGTGGAAGCGAATAAAGATATTTGTGTGAACTGTCAACTATTCAAATTTTTATTTGCTCTATGTTTTTTTATTAAAATGAATATGGAAGAGCCCAACAAATAAATCAAAAAAATTGCAAAATACGTTTAATGATAGAACATATGGAAAAATGCTTATAATAGTGCGTACAAATTGAACGTTTCAACGCAGCGTTTTAAAACGCATATCAATAATTTAAAATACAAAACGCAAACGTACTCAAATTAAACGAATGCAATTAAAATACGCAGCTTTGAAATGTTCAATTTGTGCGCACTTACGTTTTATTATTTTGCTTTAAAATATTTTTTTATAAGAACCTTAATTCCTATGGTGGAAGCGAATAAAGATATTTGAGATGTGAACTGTGAACTGTCAACTATTCAAATTTTTATTTGCTCAATGTTTTTTTATTAAAATGAATATGGAAGAGCCCAACAAATAAATCAAAAAAATTGCAAAATACATTTAATGATAGAACATATGGAAAAATTCTTAATGCACAAAATTGGGGCTGTAGGATATGGTTCATCTAATCAATACAATATTATCTTTTCTTGCTTGCATATGGGTACGAAAAAATGTCTTACCTCATATCAATACATTATAAAAATTTACTTAAGATTATAAATTATTTTGTAGAGGAGACTGAAGTAAAACATTAGGTATTTTGTATTTTTTTACCATAAAATTTTGAAATTTAAAGGAAAGCTGAACATTTTTAGATTTAGATGTAATCAAATCCCTCATCTACAAAATAAAAAAGTGTAGTTCTCTACCTTACTTTAAGAGCTAAGATTAATTATGTGAAGTGTGCCATTTTCGTCAGTTTACCCTTTACCCAGGGTAAAGTGGCTAAGCATCAGGAAAAAGTGGTTAAAATAAAATTGAACAAAATTATAGTGTTTATTTGTAAAAAAATATTGCAATTTTGAAAACTATTCATCACTTTAAGTATAAACTAATCACCGAAATGTAAAACGTTTTATCAAAAATAGCACATCTTGAGTGTGCTCATTTTGGGCATATCTCATACTCTTCACTTACACTGTGTGACAAATTTCGACTTGATTTTTTGGGAGAAAATAAAATAAACATGTTTTAAGACAGTTTTTTATGCATATTATAAATCTTGCTGTCAGTTTTTTTCTAGCACGTCAGGTTTTTTATTTATTTTAGGTTAAAGTGGCCAAAAATGTCATTTTTAGCACTTTTTGAAGGTTTATAACTTCGGTTCTAATGATCCCTACAACTAAAAAAATATCTAAATTTTTGCAGCAAACTTATTATTATTATACATTTTTTTTTATAAAATCCTTACTCAATTTTTAAACAACCTATATTTTTTAAATTTACCTTTATTTATAAAGTCTTTTTTAATATAGCTTACATTTAATATATTTATTTATTGTGGTTTTCGTTCTCAAAAAAAATTAATGAAAGAAATTAAATGTTTAAGAAAAATTATAGCCGCACAAAAAAATAATTCTTCTCCTTTCATCCTACTCTTTATTTGGCATTATTATTTATTGCCCATACTACGGGTTCAAGGTACTCCATTAGAAAATCATATATTTTGATATAAATTGATTAAAAAAACAAATATTCTTGAATACATCTAAAAAAGATAAATATTAATAAAAAATATGAAAAAATTACCAATTATTGCATTTTAAATGAATTTTGCTTCAAAAATGCTCAATTCAAAAAGAGTACAAATCAAAAAAGTGGGTACAGATATCTGATTTTGGTATAAATTGATCATAAATGCTTAAAATATTACTAAATACAACTAAAAAAGATAAATATTACCTTAATTTTGCTTTAAAAATGCTTCATGCAGAGAAAATTCAATAAAAGTACAAATTAAAAAGTTCGAAAATATCTGTACCGACTTTTTTAATTTATAGATTTTGGTTAAATTTTCACGGCATAGAGTACTTTTGAAACATAATTAGAATTAATATATAATCTTGAGCATATTTGAAGCAAAATTATATAAAATTTATCTTCTAAAGTTAATAATTTTGAGAGTAATTTAAATTGAAAACTTAAGACCCCCAAAACGAAATTCTTTACCATTTTTCTCAAAAACCAATCGATAAAAAATTATAAAAATTAGTAAATTTATAAAGAAATATAAGTTTAACACTATCACCAATTTTCAGGGATTTTTATTCGATACCTTTTAAAATATATCAGTATAAAGACCTAAATTTTACCATTTATGAGATTTCGAAAAGTTGTCTTTATACGGTAATATTTTTAAAACTTGACGTGTAGAGAAAATTTGGAAAACGGATTCGAACTCAGCGTCAAATTCTGCACCAAAACTTGTTTTTATTTTCTTCTCCCATTTTTTTTGTCACACAGTGTTATTCTTTCTATTTGGGACTATTCTCAAAATTTCATTCCAAATAACACAAACTATTTATTAATGTTCCTTTTTGATCAAAAGTATATTTTTAAATGGTGTAAACAATAATATTTAAAAATTATCTTTTTACAACTTAAATCAAACGAAGCATTATAACCGTTTTACCTATAATAACTTTACCCCAAAGTAATATATATTGTACAAATCGATATTGCGTGACTTCTAGTTAAACTATAAACTTCCAAAATATTTTATTTTATAGCTATGGCTTTAAGGAACATGTATACATTTTAATTTCTGAGATTATTATATTTAGCTTAAAAAAAACTATAGGGTGATTTTTATAATTTTTGAGTAAAAAACAGATTTTGGCAAAATATATCAAGAAGAACATAGGTAAGGAATTGGGTATAAAAATACATCACACTAAATTTAAGGCCTTTATGTTCAAAGGTTAAAAAGCTATACATATTAAAATATTTACCACGTCAATAGCTTTATCGCGGTCTCTCCTAAGCAACTTATAATGTTAAAATATTTATTAAGAGGCATTGGTTATACATTAAACCTATTGTTAAACATGACGATATATAAATATTTCAAATTTAAATAATTAAAAATCTCTAAATAAATCAAGATTCGTTATTTAATCTACTTATATTTTATTTTGTCATTCTTGTATTTCTTATTTAATTTATTCTAATTTTCTTAACTTAAAATTTCTTTTTCTTCTTATACAGAAAATGATATTTTATTGACCTTAGATATTTTATAACTTAGTATTATTTTTGTACTAACATAATTATATTTTAGTATATTATATAATGTAAATTTAAAAATAATAAGATTTTCCTTTATAGCTTGCCATCATGTTGAGATTGTTTTGCTAGTTATTGCTATCGATCGGCAGTGTGTAGCTTGATCACTAGCGTTATCTATTTCGTTTTGTTTGTAGTGTTACAGTATATAGTCCTTATAATTTTTGTTTTATTATCCTTTTTAAGTTATAAACACTAACCTTTTTAAATTCTATAAAAAAAATTTATATTTACACACCTCTCTGAAAATCGCAAATCGACTTGCGATTTTGAAATTCTAGGTAAGTATCTTAGGCTCATTGCGATATTATCATAATTTGTGCTCTTCGGCCTATTTTGTATATTTCATTTTGCTCTTCGTCATGTATATTATTGTATATCATGATATATTTTGCTTTTAACAATACTAAGGAAGCAAAAGATATTCGCTTTTCTTTTTCATCACCTTCTATTGCCCCCAATCCTCTTTTGAGTGCATCATCAGCTACTCCTATTGGTAAATCGGGTGAAGTAACACTTAATGTTGAAGGTTGACTAATTAACATTTTTAATTTATCGAAACTCTTCTGATGTTTTTCAAGCTCGCGTGGGTGATTCAAATACTCTAAGAGGGGAATGTTACAACGGTATAAATATAAACTTTAAAAAAAATTTTTTAAAAATTAGTAATTATAACTTAAAAATGAAAATAATAAATATTCGGTAATTACGATGACTATATCAATACTACAACATTACAAACAAAGTGAAATTGATAACGATCAAGATGCGGATTGGTGATCGATAACAATAACTCAGAATCAACTTGTTAATCCAACGATCACGAAATAGTGCAATGGATTTTCAAAGAGAAGAATTTTATACATTAGGATACATATTAATATAAACTTAATCTACTTATATTTTATTTAGTTATAATTTTCCTAAGTCATAATTCTTTTTTTTATTGTACAAAAAAACTTTAAAATTTAGTCCTGGTCATATCATTCCTTTTTTTAGAGTTTTGATATAATTCATGTAATAAAAAATATTTTAAACTCAAGAAATTTATAATATAATTAATATAATTTAAATTTAAAAAAAATTCTAAGCGAAAAAATTTTAAAAATTTATAGCAATGATAAATTGCGCCAATACATTGTCGATCTAGAATTGGAGTGATCCACTTGAAATTAGGAAAAACGTTTAATGTTTAGATTCAAATATAAGAAAAACTTATAGATTAATATAAGTAAAAAATCGAGAGCCAAATGATGGCCTAATAAAATTTTACAAAAATATTTTAGAGAAGATTTTATTAGATAAAATGAATATGCAAGTGGAACAAAATAAAAACTTGCATATTTTTTTTTGTCCAAGATGTTCCATCTCAATTTTATTAATTAAATAAAAGCAAAATAAATAGAAATAACTACTATATAAATCATCAAATTATGTATTATAGACACAATCTTTAATTAATTCTAATTTATCTATAGAAAAAATAATTTAGCTGAATAAAAATTATGTCAATAATTAATTGGTAATTTTTCCCGTGCATATTTTATAGTAATTTTTTTTATAAAATAAAAGGTTCATAGCGGATGATTATAAAATATGATAATATCATAGATAGAGCATATATAGTAAAAATAACAAAAATAGCCCGCCAAATAATTAATATTTTTAAATCTAGTTTTTAATTATATATTTATTGGAAATAAAATAAACTCCCAACTCAAAAATGTGAAGTGGTGCACTCCAATTCTGGACAGACGACATTGTTTATCAGGCGTAGATAAATTTTAAAACTAGTAGCGCCACTAGGGAAGGAGAAGCATAGAGGCTTAAGCCTCCTGAAAAATTTGAAGAGCCCATTGAGAATTTATAAAAAAAATACCTTAAAAAAAGGAAAGTTAGCTTAAAAAAGTCATTTTAAAAAATAGTAAAAAATTTAGAAATTTAAAAAAAAACAATTTTTGAGCCTCAAGAGATTATAAAGGCTAGTGATGCCACCTAAAGCAAAGAATTCGTTTTTGAGCATTTTTTACAGAGGGAAATGCGATCATTATATTCTGCTTGATATATTTTATTGAAGGTTGATCATTTACCTGACAAACTTGATAAGCGCTTTGAATGTGATTTTCCTCAATCGCATCGCCAAATGCTTCAAAAACCGCCAATAAGGCCTTAAGAGCAGAATCAGAGATGAAGGGCGAATTTATTCCGCCTTTGACGCATTCAAACGCCGCGTTAAGAAATGAAGCGGTTTTCGGGCCAGCAGCTAACCAAAAATGGGAACAAAATTTGGCTTTGTAGGATGGGGTAAGCGGGTTTAAGAAACATATAGTATTTAAAAGAATTTGTTAAAATTAAAAGTGCATTACCTTTTCTCCATTGCTTTAATCAGCAATTTCCATTGCGCTCTCCACTTGGACCTATATTTTAGTGTGGTTAATTGGTTTTAGCACGACCACGGGTTTTGGTCGAAAAAATGAACAAGACCCAACCCATCCTAATGGCTCAATATGATGGACCAAATTTATAGACCCAAGCATCGTCCCAAGCACCAACCCTAAACCAACTTAATATAATATTTCATTGTGTATTTTTTGTTCATTAGTCATCAAAATATTATTATTATAATATTAAATTATATACTATGCTCGCTGATTATATCTTCTTAAATTTTCCTTGATTATCTCCTTTTCTAAATTAACATATAATTTAATTAATGGAGAAATCAATGAATATAGATAGAGATTCTAGATTGTTATAGTTATCTCGTTATATCAATTCAAATTTTATAAATTTTTACTTTTTATAGTATTTTATTTTTAATGTGTAGTGCAAAACTCATTAAAAAAATATACAAAGTAATCTAATTATTTACCTAAAACATCGAGCCTAATTCTCAGCAAAAATTCGCAACGTTTTCCGGCCTCCTCCCAAATTTGATTTCCAATCCCTTCGAATAAAATAGCCCCTAATCCACCAATCAGCGACGAGGACGGGTTTATTGGAGTGTGAAGTGACAGATAGAGGACGGCCTCTAATTCTTTAAATTTAAACGATTCCGTTAAACGTGATTCATTAGCAAAATGGGCTAGACGGGCAAGCAAAAAATCGGCAACCGGGTTAACGCCCAACACACGAATGATAGAATACCAAGCGCCCTGGCCTGTCACAAATTAATGGTTTATATATATTTAAATGAGCTTTAATTTAAAAAAGACAATTATATTCATTATTTAATGCATCTTGATTTCGGGGTTTAGGTATTAAACTTATGAACGCTTATGTGTCAATGTTACTTTTATAGGTTAGATTCAATATCATCGATAATCCATCGTATGATTTCTCAACTTGTCAATTAATATAAAATTCTAATGTTAATCGGCCCGGCTTAAGTTTTTTATTTTTTACGCACAGCGCAGCCTTTTAAAGGCAGGCGGGATATATTAAAGATCGTTTACTGATAAAATTAATTTGACTCAAAATTATTCCCGTTAAAAATTAGGTAATGGTGGAGATATTTATAATAAATTTACAGAAATAACTAAAGTGTAAAAAAATCTAGGCAATAAACCTATATCTTCCTTCCTGTATTGCTCGACGGTGCGATAAACGGAAATGGAAGGGGCGGCTCTTTTATCGAGCAATAGTGATTCATCAGCTGATCAAATTCATTTTTTAAAGTGAGTAAAAATACCTAAAATATGGCGCGAAGTAATCATTTTAATAAACATGTCATTTCGAATGTATTTTTTTAATAAAAATATTATTTATTATATACTGCATTAAATAAATAATACATTTAAAACGGTATCGTGCAAATTGGTCAAGTTACTTGGCGTTAGAAATCATTTTAAAAAAAGCAAACAGGTTTGCTTTTTTCAATACTTTTTCATTCATCATTTTGCACGTTAGTCTAGGACCAATTCTTTAAGAAGCCGTCTTTTTTTTTCACAAGAAAACCGATATTGTTACCCAGATAATAATAAAATAATAATAAAGAGATTCATTTATAATAGAAGCTATTTGCTCAAGCTATGCGATATTCATCGCTGCGTAATTTATAACAGCAGACCAATAACAGGTTAATTTATAAATACGGAAATGATGAAATCGCCACAGGTTAAAGTATAACACATACTTTTCAAGAATTAAACTTTTTAATTTTTATTAAACATATAAAACATATGTGAAGACAAAATACCAAATATGGATGTCCAGGATCAACTGAGTAAGCGATGTAAATAAAGAAAAATGTAAAACATAACTTGAAATACTCATTCACGAAAGAATAAATTGCTCGAAAATAACTAATTTAAGTTTTCTTGCATTCACCGTGGATATATTATTCTTAAAAATTCGTAGATGAAAATAAAAGGATATAGGCTCAGTAAATGTTAGTTTCAAGGAGATCAATTATATATTTTTTTAAAAAAAAAAATTTGGGAAAAATTAAATCGGATCGGAACCGAAAAAGTAGTTATACTTAAAATATATTTTTAAATATTTTTAATATTATGCTTAGACAGCTTATAAATAACCTTGTATGAAATTTGTATAAAATAATACTGTCATCTGTCAAATCTTGCATTTCCGATCTGTCCGCCAAATCCTCGCATTTGTTAAAGTCCGCTCGAGTATCGGTCTCGGTTAAAAGATCGGGACCGGTCGTCCAATAGAGAGGTAGGGCCGCTTTGTAAAGAAGCATCGGTAAGAGGCTTCTAAAAAATGGTTGGATTAAGCTAGCGAAGATCGAGCGCTTGGCAATCAAGTCTTCTTCGTCGACCTTGGAAGAAAGAGACAATGGATTTTGTAGACGAGAGGCTGGGAAACATTTTTTTTAAAAAAAATCATTTTTTAACCAAATTGGTGAAAAGAAATAATAAGAAATGGCAATCTGTAATATGACCTAGAAGATGTTTCGTGTTTTATTTCCAACCACTTACCTGGGTAAACTTGGAAATTTCTATTAAATGGAGAAAATTATTTTATCCAAAAAAATATTAAGCAGGTCTGAAGATTTTGTTCATAGATCGCGTTAGTGAAACATAAAGTAGTTTTCTTCTTATTTATATTAGACAAAAAACCTCAAGGTTGAATAGAACTGGAAACTGAGCTCGCGTTTCTCATAGTTTCTCCAATATATTGATTGATGCAAAAGACCCAAATTCAGATTTAAAAAACTACAAGAACTTTTAATGACAAATGAAATATCCTTAGAGATAAGATCTATTAGGCTTATCTCTATGCCAAATCCCCAAAACGCAACCACCTCTACAAGTGATTTTTTCTTATAAGCGAGGAAGAATTGCAGGATAAAAATTAGATGTAAGATGTCTATGGAAGCAAAAGTTCTGAAAAATGAATGCAAATAAACAAAGGGGATGATTAGTGGGGACACTGCAGATAGAGGAATCCGGCAACTGACCTTATGGTATATGTGGAAAATAGTTGCCAGAGATTCAATAGAATGCACCAGATGCCAGAAATGATAAAAGATGTAGTAAGAAAAAAGATAACCCGATGGTAAGTGTGACTTTTATTTGTAGAAAATGCGTGAAAGGGGTTCATATATAACATAGAAAATGGTAATTTGGATATTGGCAATGAATCAACCGTGGGAAAAGTGAAAAGGTTTTGTTATTTGGATGGCATCTAAACACAAATGGAGGTGTTGATTCTGCTGTTGTTGCAATGGTCTTATATGGTTGGAAGAAATTCAGAGAGATGTCGTTTATTTTAACATATAAAAACGTCTCTCTTAAGATGAAGGTAGTGTGAGAAGTTGTATGATTAAAGCGGTGACAAGAACAAAAGTGGCTCATGAGGCTAAATTGGGAAAATGGAGATGAGAATGTTTAGATGGATGTGTGAGGTATCTCTGACTAGCAGGCAATTGCGAGCAAGGATGGGAATAGAAACGATAGGAGTAGTAATGAGAAGAAATAGACTGAGATGGTATGGGAATGTGGAGGTAAAGATGACTGGGTAAAGAGATGCATATTGATGGAAATAAGAGGAGCAAAGCCGATGAAATGGATAACAGAGGATATTGTGATGCTCAGAACCGGCAAAAATGGAATCCTAGAGAAGTATTTTCTTTCAATCATCATTTTCAATTTAACAAGGTTTAAATTTAATAATTAATTTTTATAAAAACTGTAAAACATTTTATAAATATTGCCCAAAACATTAAATTTTTTATAACAAAAACACTACCATTTTAATAAATTTACTGTTCAATTCTATATATAAAATTTGTGTACTCTCTGAAAAGAAGCACGCTAATGCTATTTATTAAAAAAAAGTAGGAAGCTATTAGCTATCGTAACGCGAGCGTGCCATTTTAACCCTTATTGAAAAGGACGCTATTTCATCGAAAGGGCTATATATTGTCAATAAATATTTATTAATATTTCTGAACTCGAAATGTTTTTTATGAATGTGTATATAACTGAAAAAATATTTCACATAATTTGAGTACAAAATGAAATCTATTTTTTTCTAAATAATGACAAAACATTACCTGTTAGTCCCTCTTTTTCTACCGCGTCCGCTATCGCTATGCAACCCCGCATTCCAATCGGACTCCAGCGCTCTTCGAGTGGGTAACAACCAGGATAATTAGCGCACACCGCTATCCGCTCGAGAAAACATGCGGTACGTTCGACATCCTCCGAGCCAGCCATTATAGCGTCGGCTAAAATCAGGTCTAGATGGGCTTCGACCGTCTCACAAATCATGGAAAGAACGAAGGGGTGAAGTAACAGACGTGGTTGGGCCGGATCAAAAGAGGGTGGGGTAACTGGCTGTGAGAGAATCGAGGAGAGGGAGTTGAGGAGGAATCGTATTAGCTTGGGATATCTACGAAGGTAATGTAATTTTTTATCTTAATATAATAATAAGATCTAAAAATGCTAAATAGTACTATATCGTCGCTCCATAATAAAATAAGTTTGCTTTATAAATGGATAGATGTTTATTTATCAATGTGTAAACAAAAATTTGGATAAAAATATGAAGTTTTGATAATTACGATTTTTAATATTTTTTTATATTAGTTTTTGTGCAAGAAGTGGATAAAAGATGCATAGAAGCAATAATAAAATCAACTAATAAAAATAATCTATGCATCTTAATTTTAATATTAAAATTTTATTTATTATATATATTTTTTCTAAATTTTTTAATTATACTACACTAATAAAATTGCGTTAATATAATTTTATAATCTTAAATTATTAATGTTGACTAATTTAAGATATAAAAAAAGTATGAAAATTCTTAAATAATATGTCATCAAGATAAATTATGATGAATTACTTGGTTATTAACTGATTATTTTGGCTTCCGCTGAATTTTGAGAATGTCAAAATAAAACATAGGTTTCAATTAAAAAATTAGAATAATTAAAAGAATAAATATAGTATATAGAAAATTTTCTTTCAATTTGGTAAATAGTTTTAACAAACATTGGATTGAAATAAGCCGATTCTAACAGCTTGAGTGAGAGGTTGTATAGTCTACAGTGGCAAAACATAGGTGATGAATGAGGCACATTAAGTTATATTGAAAAAAGGAGATGAGAATAATCAGAGAGATGTGTGGAGTATCTATGGAGAGAGAAAAATAGTCAACGAGTTGCGGGAAAGGATTGAAATAGAAACGATTATATGAAAATAAATAGTCTGGGGTGGTTTGGACATGTAAATGCAAGATAATCGGGTTAAGAGATGCATTTCGATGGAAGTAATGGGAAAAGGCCTCGAAGAAGACCAACGAAGACATGGATGAGAATGATATCGGATAATATAGGAATAATGGCTCATACAGATAGCGATGCATAGGACCGTAAAATGGAGAAAGAGGATCAGAGAGAAAACTAGCTTATCTGGGTTCATTAAACCATAGAGAACAAAAATACATCTGGAACTCCAATAATCGAGCAACAATATATATGATTAAAAAATATATAAAACTAAACAGGGTTAGTTGGTGAAATTCAGTCAATTGACCAGAAGAGTATTTGATCAAAAAATCTGAAGAAGAAAAAAATTTAAAAATATGTTAGAAATAAGAAAAATGATATAAATACATGTGATCACAATGCTGCTTATTTTTTGGGTCCCCAATATCAAAAAGAGCATCTCACTAGTAAATTTAATGAAGTATGTGATATACATACATGATTCAGGCATTACAAGGTGACTTTCAAGTGATATCATAAATTTCAGTAGTAAGCGGTATGTTTAATAGCAAATTATGTGGAAAGTAGTAACTTCCACAAGAAACAATGAGACTCTGGCCTCACGTGAGTGAGCTTTTCCCACCATGTCTATTAAGAGAAGTGGCATTATACTAACAATTCCTAGTTCTACTTCTTCTTCAGAAAGAAATTAGTCGATTTGGGTTTATATTCTAAGACAGAAATCGATTGAAGATCTCGACAACGGGAAAATTGATAAAATAATTTTAAAGAAAATGTTAATATTGAATATGAATCAGAAGAAGTCTACTACGGAGAGCTAGACATTAGTTATTGAATGCCAATGAATTTAAAAAATATTACAGAATTAGTATTATAGATTTATTTTACTATTATACAAAATATAGTTAATATTGACTTAAGACATTTATATTTGACTGGTCAAATATCGGTCAATTGACTAAAACGTATTTGACCAGTCAAATACAAAACCCTGGAAATAAATAATAAATAGATTTATGCTGCAAACACCATGTTCTACAAAAATTATCGATTCTGGGCATACATTTTAATTAAAATCCCGCCACGAACCTATAAATATCGGGGTAAAATGCTACGGCCTCCAAAAAAGCCACGTATCCTGATTGGTTTTCAGGATGACAAGTGATTCCTTCAATGGCCATGGTTATCAAGCGTTTCAGGTGATTCAAGTGATCGGACAAATTAAGCCCCGATTGATGGCCGAGGGAGATGAGCCAACTCTGAGCGCAAGTCAAAACACCAAAATTCGCGTCGTTTGAGCTATTCCAAGATAGCAAAACGTCCAAAAAATCAAAAACTTTTTGGCAATTTTTTTAAACAAAAATAATAAAATGATGTTTTAAAAAAGATATGTGAATCAGTTAATTTTTATCAGATAAAATTATGAATTCCACGAATAGCAAGTGGTTACATATTGAGCATAAGTGTTTAGTATTATTTCTTCGCCTATTTTTTTAAAAATGATGTGGTATAAATAAAATAATAAAACAAAATTAATGCAGCTTTAGCACTTTTAACGCAAAATAAAATGTTTACCAACATGGACGATAACATTTAAAATAAATTGTTTTAGAAATACCGCAAAAAAACGCTTCAATTTGTAAACACTAAAAGTTTGAAATTTGCATTTCATTTAAGCCCAACATCTTATTGATGATGAGGAGGAAATAGATGGCAGTATTTAAAAAATTTGATGAAATGCTATGAATCTTTTCAAACTTTTATTATCAAGTTGGCTTCGACACTAAAATTTGATGTTTGCCAACAAGATTTTTATAATTATATATATCATATATATAAATTTGCTAAATTAAATTTTATTTCTGTAGGCAATGACAATGTGAATATGCCAGGTTATTATTATTATTCTAAAAAAATGATTTTGTCCTGTTAAACTTATTTTACAAAAAATAATAAATTTTTTTTAAACTAGCACCAATGAAATAGGATTTGTAAGGTTTGAACCGCTGTCACTGAAAACAGAATGAGCATGAGCAAAAGATGTAAACGAAAACCAGGATATGATATGCAATTATTATTGGCATCACCCTTTATTAATAATTATTGTCGAAATAAATCTTATTTTTTAAATTTTTCTATTCCTTTATTTATTTACTTTTTGATGCAAATAACATTAATATACCTTAAATTTAACATTAATTAATTTTTATGTACAAGTGTAAACTAAATTTTTAAAAGGTTATAATCTTGCAAGATCTTTTACAGGGAAGATTAAATAATTATATTTTTTTTTTCTTTTTGTAAAAACTGTTTTAATTAAATATTTAAAACAAAAAAGAATATCTATCTTATTTATAATCGTTTTAACGAAGGGCAAATTTCATATTATTACATCAATTAAAATATCGGTAACTGCCACCCACAACCAAAAAAAATAAAATAGTAATCTTTAATACGTATTGCCCTTTACCAGTAACTCGCTTGTTTTTATAATTATTTATTTATTACCGATTTTGGCGTTTTGACACATGTCGTAACGTAGGGCATTTTTTTCGGTAACGGAAATTCTAATTCTTTCGAACTTACGGACAATAAAATATTGAAATATAAGAATTTTTATATAATTATATTTTTTTTTCTCTCACTTCTTGCTTTTTTTCTTTGTGTCGAGGTAGATCAAAATAGAAAGGGTAGCAAATTTATTCTTTGAAATGAGATGTCCCCCATGGCTACCTTATCCTAATTTTAAAATCACCTGACAGAATAAAAAATTGTTCGGATGGATTCAATAACCGCGAAAGAGCCTCTTGATGGGAGAGTCTAAAAGTATTAGATTAAGAATGGGGGGAGGGGCGATGTTTAAATCTGGAATCGCGTAAAGAGGGAGAGATTATCTCAGATTTGCTATAATTCAAATGAAATCCCAAAACTATTGGAAGACTTTTTAATGAGGATTATGGAGCCTAAAATAAATATTGATAAAAGAATCGCAAAGAAATTAAGTTGATGTTCAAATTAAATAAGAGGGGTCTAGGGATGTGGGGGAGGGGAGTCTCCTTGTTGAACACCCTCTTGAGAGTAGTGCCAAATTGCAGGTAAATTTTTTTACCAGGTCTTTTTGCTCTGTAACAGTCGGCGTCGTACGTTTATACTGGGTTATGGTTTAAGTAACTTAAAATTTATGACAGACGATACAAAATTTAAGAATAAAAATTTAGAACAAATTATTTTTTAAAGATTTTATTAAATCTTTTTTTACAACTTTTTCGTTAGTTTATATTTTTTTTTACAATGATTAATATGAATGTACAAAATTTAAAAAAGTATTAAAAAAACTATACAATGTTAAATATATTATTATAAAGTAAAAAAACTTTTAAACAAATTATTTTAAGGTAAAACATCTTTACAAAACTAAATTATTTTAAAGTAAGAAATAATTTTAAGGTAGAATCAAAAATAATTTGAGTAAAAATATACACTTGAATAATCTTAAAATAAAAAAAATATTTTCTTTCAATCTTTTTTTATATTTCATTTAACATAACTGCTGTAGTAAGGCATTTAATATACTGGGTCGCCACAGTAGCCTATAAAAGGATGGAAGGAAAACGTCAAGCCTGATATTGTTAAAGAGGCGTTTTTTAAATCAAACACATTATTTGATTCTAAGAGAAGGAGATATGACATTATACAATTCCTTTATTAGTATGAATAAGTCACAGGATAATATGGTATATAATTGCAATTCGTATATATATGGATGATTGATTTGTATATGACATTCATGACATTAATAATATATATAATATATCTCATTTATAACATATCCTCACACATATGATCTTACAACTCTTCAATCAGCCGATTTGTAGGTTTCCTAGCTCTTTGTGATTTCCGCGTTTCTAGTTTTCCGTTATCTTCCACATTTTCTAAAATCTCAACTATATCCGACTCTCTATTTTTTATGTTTTCTTTCTCTCTCTCTGACTCCATATTTTCTCCATTTTCTTCCTCTCTTTCTGACTCCATATTTTCTTTATTTTCTTCCCATGGCCCAGACTTCTCCATTTTTTTAGCTACCTCCCTTTTTCGAAGTTGATCCGCATGCTTTAGTATCATTCTATCCTTGTTTTCTACCAAATAAGAATATCTACCAGTTTTGGATTTTATAACTCCTTCTCTCCAACCTGAATTTATTTCATTATGCACCCATACCGGTTGTGCAATCTCAAATTCCCTCATTTGACTATGTTCATCATGCGCTGCTTTTTGTCGTATATTCGATTGTTCCATTTCATCCCTAACATTTGGATGTAACCATTTTAATCCCCTTTTTAAATTTCGCCCTAATAATAACTTTGCTGGTGAACGTCCAGTTGATTGATGTTCACCCATTCTATATGCTATCAAAACTTCTCCCATGGCTTCCTCAGGCTCCCTGATGTCTTTCCTAGTTGCAAAATATCGACTCTTGAGGGTTCGTATTGTTCTTTCCGCTAAACGGTTCGTTTTTGGATGGCACGGTGTTGTATGTATCAATTTAATATTTTTCTCGAAACAAAATTTTCGAAATTCTCCAGAAATAAACTGAGGTCCATTATCTGATACAATTTGTCTAGGTGTTCCAAATTGTGCGAACCATTTCCTTAAAGCCCTGATCATTGTCGTAGACGTGGTCTCTCTCATTAACTCAACCTCAACCCATTTAGTATATGCATCAACTCCAACTAACCATGAATACCAATCAATAGGCCCCGCGAAATCCAAATGAATTCGTTCCCATGGCATATTAGATATGTTCCACGAATATAAAGGAACCTCCATAATACTCGACCGGTTACTTTGACATGGCATACATTGACGAACATATTGTTCAATGTCTTTATCGCAATTAGGCCACCAACAATACATTCTAAAAATTGATTTCATAGCATTTATTCCTGGATGCCCTCTGTGTATAATAGTTAATAATGATTTTCTCAAAACGGTTGGAATTACCAACTTCCCATTCCATTCAATAACATCATGATCTACTGACAATTCCTCTCTACGATTATAAAAACAAACTAACTCTGTTTCGCATCAAAATCCACCCATCCACGTTCAATGTTTTTAACTACTTTTTTAAAGAAGCTATCATTCCTTGTCTCCTTTTGGAGTTCAACTTGACTAATATTTATATCGTGCAAATTTATAGTTCTGCTTTTTAACGCATGTTTTTCATCGTTATTTGATTCTATGCTTTCTGCTGGAAGCCTAGATAAAGTATCAGCTACTTTATTTTCTTTTCCTGGAACATATTCAATATCAAAATCATATGCGGACATTTTCCAAGCCCAACGCGTTAATCGACTATTGGATATTTTTGATAGTTCCCGTTTATCACCAAATTTCCAAGCAATATAAATTTTCGACCAATTATGAAAGTATGAAATTTTTCCATTCCAAACAAAAGTGCTCGTGCCTCTTTTTCTATTGGTGCATAATTTTTCTCTGACTCCAATAATGTTCGCGAGGCAAATGCAATAGGTCTGCTAATACCTTTTTTTACTAAATGGCACAACACAGCTCCAAAACCAGTGTTGGAGGCGTCACATTCCAATATAATTGGCAAGTTTGGCGAATATGGAATTAGCGTTTTATTTGTTGACAAAAGCTGTTTTATTTTATCAAATACCTCTTGTTCCCTGTCCGACCAACCCCAGAAACATTTAATGCTTGTTAATTTATGCAGTGGAGCGGCAATTCCATGCAAATGTGACAAAAATCTCTCGTGATAATTCACAAGTCCTAAAAAAGATCTTAATTGGTGTATATTATTAGGAGTTGGTATCCTTCGAATAGCATCTATTTTTTCTTTAGATGGGTGTATTCCATTTTTTGTCTATTACAAAACCTAGAAAAGAAACTAATTCATTTAAAAAGCGTATTTTGGCCCATTTTGCCTTCACACCCACCTGTTTTAATTTCATTAATACTTTTTTTACGTTATTCAAATGTTCTACATCATTTTTCCCCGTTATGATAATATCGTCAAGATATACTCCGGTCATTTGGCAATTGTAATAAATTATCCATATATCTTTGGAAAATGGTCGGCGCACTAGAAAGACCGAAAGGCATACATAGATATTGGAAATAACCAATATGGGTTGATATGGTTAAGTATTCTTTTGAACTCTCTTTTATTGGTAATTGCAAATATGCATCTTTCAAATCTATTACCGTAAATTTCAACCCATCTTTTAATTTGGTTAAAAGATCATCCACCGTTGGTATAATATGATAATCGTATAAAATATATGGGTTTAATGTCACCTTTAAATCCGCATAAATCCTGATTTCTCCATTTGTTTTACTATGTTTACTGTTGGAGTAGCCCATGTCAAACGTTTTTTTGTTGGGTCAATCTCCTTCAATATTCCTGATTTAACCAATCTATCGAGTTCCATTTCAATTGGTTTTCATAATGGAAAAGATACTCTACGAGCTGGCCATTATTTCGGCCTTGCTGCCTCACTCAGATGTATGCTAACTTCCATATCATTCACCCGTCCTGGCTTGTCATCAAAAACACTGAAAAATTTTGTCGTCATGCCAGCAATTTGTTTATCGGTTGTCATAACCTCTTTACTTGTGATACTACGTATAGTAACTTGTCGTGGGATAAACATATTAAATGCCAGTATCCATGGTAGTCCAAATAATGGTATGTCATTTGAACGGGTCACCATAATCGGTAGTGATCTGCTTATCTTTGCAAGACAAACCCTTACCATAGTCTCACCAAGTACATCCAGCGGTTGGTTACCATATACTGACAAAGGTTTGGTTGGTCCAAGCTTGGGTCGGCCAATTTCATCCCAATAATCTTTCCCAATCACCGATACCTGTGCCCCCGTATCATAGTCAAATTCTATATTTCTACCAATTTGGGAAATATTATTAATTGAATTTGATGAGTCATTGTCATCTTGATGAATAGCATGTAACTTCCGTCCCTTACAATATTTAGCATAATGCCCTACCTTTTGGCAATTATAACATTTCACCCTTGATGCAAAACATTGAAAAGGGGGGGGGGTGAGTTCTTCCACATTTTGAGCATTCATTGTATTTACACATATCATTATTGTTAAATTTACTGTTATCTCTGAACTTAAAATTATTATTATTGTAATTACTAAAATTTCCTTTTTCTTTTTTATTATTATATGGGTACTTTTGATTAGAAAAATTTCCTTGATTATTCTCTATCTGCTTTTTAGGTTTATTGATTTTTTTTACCATCATATTTGTCACTTCATTCTCAGCTCTTTAAATTACTAAAGCCATATTTAAAACCTGTTGAAAACTCACCCTTTCTCCCATGTCATTTATTCCATCTGGAAATCTGGTGCGAATATCTTTCTCCAATGCACCCATTTTGATTCCAGCCACCATCTGATCCCTCAATCTCCCATCCAGGTCAGATTCAAATTTACACTCTTGTGCCAATTTTTTAAGTCGGTCTGCAAACTCAGCAACTGCTTCACCATCCCCTCTTTCTATCCAAATAAACTTAATTCTCGAGCTGAA